GTTTTTTGCACATGTGTCTTATGAAATTTATTGAGAATACATCCTATTCTGCGGTGTTGCACACTGCGGGAATCAGTTTCGGCCCGGAATCAATTCCATCCAATTCCGAAAACTCAAACATCATTAAACAAATTCGGCTTATTCCACAATGATCGAATTTCTCAAATACTCGGAATTCCCACGAATTTCGGAATTGGAAGGAATTCCGTCCGATTCCGCTTCGACCTAATTCCCGGAATTCTGTTCTGGAATTGCTTTCCATCATCACCCTCATGCTGAGCTGCCTTATTATGGATTAATCTCTCAAATAAATTAGCGATTCCGGGACGGAATTCCGGAAATTAGGTCGAAGTGGAATTCGACAGAATTCCCGTGAATTTCGGGAATTGATTTACAACCGGAATAGGATGGAATTGCTTCCCACTCTTGTCGCGAACCAGTTTCGGAATTGAACGGTATTCACAGGAATTCCGAAATTGGAAGGAATTCAGGAATCGGACGAAATTCCGGAACTGGATAAAATTCCTAGGAATTGCGATTAATTTGGGATGGATTCAATTCCAGGCATTCCAAGAATTATGGGAATTCGATCGTTGTCAACTAAGGCGAATTTGTTTCATGATGTTCGAGTTCCCGGAATTGCATGGAACCGATTCCCGCAATGTGCAACATCGCTGAATAGGATGACTACTCAATTTATTATTCTTCTGCAATATAATGTCTTTCTGGGTGTGGGTATTCTCTTCACCGAACCCCCATCCACACCCACACCCTTTTAGACCCTGTCGAATTCGATGGCAGTATTAGAGTAAATTAGTGAGGGTGAAGCCCCTATTTCGGATACATCTAACTGTGTTTAGCTCATGCAATGTTCTACCAATGTGATACAAACATGTCCTCCTGTCAATGGACTTTCTCTCTATGCGCAAAACTCAAACCACTGAAGGTAAAAAAATAAAGTGAGCTAAGTCTTCTGTTCACATGACACTCCTCTTGGCAATTCTTACCTGTGAATGTATGTTTTGATATAAACATAAACTAAAAGTAACGAGCGATCGTTTGTTGACAGCGACAGAATTTTCTTTTTCTACTTCTAATTCACTTCAATCCATGTGAAAGCCTTTCAAACGATACAAAGGAGTAAACAGAAACAGTCATTTTCTCCAAAACTCTGTGTCAAAATATTGTTTTTTGCATTGACAAGAGAACTGCGAATTGTGCGAGTCATGATATGTTATGATGTTGCGGCAGACTAATGGGTATTGATCTTTTAAAGTTTCGTTCCATATCCAATTAGTCGAAATGCGGTGAAAAATGTCAAATAGACCTTGATGAATTGTTTAGAGGCACTATTTGACTTTCTCGGATATCCAAGTGAGGATGTGGGTGTGGGTGGGATGGGGTGAGGGTGTGCGTGTGTGGGTGTGTAAAAGATCAACTTCCCATCCCCACCCCCCCCCCCCACCCACACCCACACCCACACCCACACCCACCCACACCCACACCCACCCACACCCACACCCACCCTTAACGTCACGAGCTACTTCAAATTCACTCTTAAATAAAAAAAGAAAGTCTATCTCATCAGAATCATCAAATTCCATAACGGATGATAATAAATGTTCGTTATCGATTGAAATAATTTCTCAGACAATAACAAATGAATGTTTATTTCTCTTTCTTGTGATGTTTTTTAAAGTTGGGCTGAAACTATCATTTAATGTATGAGTAAGAGTAAGATTATTCTGTTTGTTGAGAATGATATGATCTCCAACTCCATGAAAAGAAACACATCTATTCTATTGAGGTATCTCTCTTCGTGCTATTATTTATTTGAAATGTTATTTGTTTCTTCTGTTTGTTTTTAAAGTGAACGACGAGGCTGGATATCTCTTTTATACAAACAATAAGAGTATGGATTGAGAGAGGACGCACATCTATTGCGACACCCACACCCTATTTGTTTAAATAGTCATATGAAAATTACAAAGAAACATTGTCTTTCAATGACAATAGACAAATATTTGTATAATTCATTTGATATTCTAAAAGTCTGTTTTGAAAAAAAAAGGAAAAAAAATAACTTGATATATGAAAGGATTCATTCAATCTGCCCCATTTACTTCGGTTAATGTAAATTCCATATTGTGCTGAAACAAGATTATCAATGTTTTATTCAGTTTTCTTTCTCTAAAATAATTTCTAATGACTTGTGGATGTTTTTTCTACTGTTCTCTTAGTACTCAATGTCTTTGAAAATTATGCTTCTACAGGTCGACAGAAAAAAACGTTTGTTGGCAAATCAACATCTGTTCGTGAAACAAAAAATGAATCTTTGAATATCAATCTACAACTGATTTACAAACAACTTCAACATGAAAATGATCAACTAAGAGAGGAAATTAATTTTTATAAACGTCATTGGATGCCTAAGTATTTATTTCTTATACTTATTCTAAGTAATAAGTTTTTTTCAACTAGGCCTACTGGGCCTGCCTTGATTTGCTTTGTTGATATGAGTAAAACTTTATGTGACCATCCAATGGTTGAATATGCAGAGAAGAAAAAAACTTAAATTAAAAAAATCTCCCTTGCACTGAATATGACTTTAGATGAATTAGAATCATGCGAACATCCAAAACAGATTACGAAAACTTGTCGAGAATTAGTGAAATTTTTATATCCAGATGTAAATCAACGTTCTACAATGAGTATATCATCCATGTCGAAAGAACAAGTTAATGCTATACGTGGTAGGTGTTTTAGTTACTAAATTTAGATCACTATTGTTTATATTTCAAGAATATGCACGGCTTGCCCATCCAAATCAATCACAAACATCGAATTTTATTTTGAATAATGCAATTGGCAATATTTTCTCATCAGAAAGACATAAACAAAAAAAAGAGAATGAAACGAAAAAAAAACACGAACTAAAACACGTTGAGCAGCAAGAAGAAAAAATATTTCGATTTTTTTTCTTCATGCAAATGTGTTTATCATTATATATATACCATATGGAAATTGTTTATTTTGCTCATATTTGTTCTATGTAGGTTAAGAAAAAAATATATTGAAAATATTTTCCAGTAACCTTTCAAAAAAAAATTCAATCTCTACAAGAACCAATCTATATTTAAGAATATATCTATTCTGACGATCAAATACAATCTTCAGACACCAGTTTGATATATTTCACCGCTTATATTATCATCTTCATTTTTTTTTGCTGTCAAAAAAATGCTTTTTACTAATCTTACTTCATTAATTCATTTGCATTTCAGAATCAATCATTTGAGTACATGAACTTCTTCTAAACATTATTTTTCACTAGACAAAATGACAGCCGATAATAATGTAGGAAAATAGTGTATAAAACAATCGCATATATAGCATTTTTAAATTGGCATTATGTAATAATCAATATTATCATATCATTGCACAATAACCTGTTATGATGCACAGAAAATAAAAAAAATAACTATCATAATCTCATGTAAACACCATTCCCTTGATTTGCATTAAAGATAAATATTTATAATAATGGTACGATTCGCAAAAAAAACGAGTTTTAATGTATTACCGATGACAAAATCGAGCGTAATCATATTATTCAAAAGCGGCAAGCTCTATAATGTACTACAAAAAAGGACCCATTATAATCATATCATTCAATCTGGATGCATTTTGATGTATCACAAAGAAGAAAAAAGACAGTATGCTCATGGCATTTCAAATCGAATGCAGTTTAAGAGGGTGGGTGTAGGGTGTGTGGGTGTGGGTACGAGTGTGGGTGGTGTGTGGGTATGGGAGAGTGTGGGAGGGAGTGGCAGGGTATGGGTATAGGTGTGGGCGGAGCATTGACTGGACATCTACACCGACACCCACGCCCACACCCACACCCTCTCATACCCACACACTCACACTCACACACCCACACCCACACCCACACCCACGCCCACACCCACACCCACGCCCACGCCCACACCCACACCCACGCCCACACCCACACCCTGCTTGCCAGTTATAAGAATATAATGGATGATACCGCAAGTGACTGCAATATTTCTCTCTCTCTCTCTGTTAATAGGGGACTGAAAAATAGTGTCCTATACGAATACTACTTCTATTACCCGGTCCCAACCCGGATCACCTTTTAAAACCCGAGCCCCGACCCGACTCAGCAGTCTCGCATGCAGAATCGAACCGAACCCCTCTAACTCAAGAATTAAATAATGATCGTTTGAGTCCAATCTTCGAAATTACGCGCACCCTTCAAATTTTTGGCTTACACGACGTCATGGATTCTTGTTTTAATTGTATTGGTGTGGATGTTGGTGTGGCTTTTGACATGGATGTAGAGTGTGCGCGCGAGTGTGGTCACGGATTCAAATGTAGGTTTTATTTTTAGAGCAAAAGTACAAACCAATTTTATCTTTATTAAAAAATGCGCCGACACCCAAAATGCCAAAATTTATCACACATGTCTGGTATTAGTTAGTTTACAAATTCGATCATCTAAGAGAACTCAAACATTGTTTTCTTGCAGTCCTCATAAGGACAAGTGACAACATCCCCTTCTTCATAGTCTGGATTCGTCCAGACAATTGATCGAGAACAATGTATACATTTAATCTGTTGAAACTTTTTCAGACAACCCTCATAAGGACATGGAATAACATTTCCTTCTTTATAAGTTGCATTCTTCCAGATGATTACTCGAGAACAATGTGCGCATTTAATTTGTTGAAACTTTTTCATGCAGCCTTCATAAGGACATGAGATAACATCTCCTTCTTTATAAGTTGCATTCTTCCAGACGATTACTCGAGAACAATGTGCGCATTTAATTTGTTGAAACTTTTTCATACAGCCTTCATAAGGACATGAGATAACATCTCCTTCTTTATAAGTTGCATTCTTCCAGACGATTACTCGAGAACAATGTGCGCATTTAATTTGTTGAAACTTTTTCATGCAGCCTTCATAAGGACATGAGATAACATCTCCTTCTTTATAAGTTGCGTTCTTCCAGATAATCGATCCAGAGCAATGAGCACATTTACACTGTTGAAACTTCTTCATGCAGCCCTCATAAGGACAGGAAATAACGTCCCCTTCCTGATAATTCGCATTCTTCCAGACGATGGATCTGGAACAATGTACACATTTACGCTGTTGAAATTTTTTCTTGCAGCTCTCATAAGGACAGGAGATAACATCTCCTTCTTCATAATTCGCGTTCTTCCATATTATTGATCCAGAACAATGTGTACAACTGTACTGTTGAAATTTTCTGTTGCAGCCTTCATAAGGACATGTGACAACCGCTCCCTCTTTATAATTCGCATTCTTCCAAATAATCGATTGAGAACAATGCGGACAATTCACCTGTCGGAATGTTTTCTTGCAGTGCTCGTAGCCACATGTGACAAGCTTTCCTTCTTTATAATTATCGTTCTTCCATAATATTGATTCAGAACAGTGCGGACAACTGATTTGACGAAATTTTTTCTTGCAGTCATCATAGCAGCATGTGACAATTTTCCCTTGTTTGTAATCCGCGCTTTTCCATAATATCGATCGCGAACAATGCGGACAGTTCAACTGTTGAAAGGTTTTCTTACAATTATCGTAGCTACATTTGATGGTCTTGCCTTCTTTATAGTCAGCATTCTTCCATATATTTGATCCAGAGCAATGAGGACAAGTGATTTGGTAGAACCTTGTCTTACAACTTTCTTTGCAACAAGTGACAGCCATTCCTTGATTATAATCCGCATTCTTCCATAGTATTGATCCAGAGCAACGTGGGCAGCCTACTTGCTGAAATGGTTTCCTACAGTTTTCGTAGCAGCATGTAATACGTTCTCCTTCTTTATAATCTGCATTATTCCAAACATTTGACTGAGAACAGTGTGGACAGATGATCTTTACTGAAAAGTAATGAAGTTCACTTATTTACTTTCCAAGTTCTATTGCATTTCGAAACATTCTTTGGTACCGTATGATTTGACAGAACCTACATGAAGATGTTTGCAAGTGTAGGCGTAGGTAGTTATGAATGTCCTCACTTCTCTGTCATAGGTAAGTTCAGTTACAGCTGAGCTCTATATTCACTTCCATGTTCTATGTGTGTTCCTCGAAAGAAAAGACTCTAAAAGAAATAGTTTTCTTTTACTGGGTGTGGGTGTTAAATAAAGAGACACCCACACTCATACCCTTCCACCTCACTTTAAAGCTCGCGTATACGAGCTATGAGATGAGCAATGCTTGCATCTACCATAGATATGAATATAACTTACTTGAAGTACCGTTGTATGCTCTTTTTGTGACCAGTTGAGTATTGTTAAGAGAGGATGCTAATGATTCTTCATCGTTGTTTTCAATTTCGATTAAATGCACAATATGAGAACCGTTAGATTGCTCTAAAGGATCACCTTTAATGCGAAATTGGGATCCCATGGGTAAAATTATTTCCTCTTCGTTTTCGTATTCCGTATATCTGGAAACTTTTTTTCCAGCAATAGCTTCGATTAGAAACAATGTCGCACCTTTCTGATTTCCAAGAAAGTTCTTTATAACGTTGACTGAAGAAGAACATGAATTGATGCTCCACCATGTAACAATTTGGTTTCTGGTGAAATTCTTACCGATATCAAGAGCGACCCCTCTCCACACTACTTCTTTTACAGTAGGTAACTTGCTCAATGCCGTATCAAACAATTTCAAATATGGAAACCACTCTTTCAATGCATGACGATTTTCAGCTCGCAGAGCTGCATTTAAAGCACAATAAAGTGTCGTGTTGCCCCATTCCATCGTATAAATATAGATAGCTGCTGATTCGTCGCGTGTTAGTCCATGCTCAGACGGAAAACGACAATTCTTTTTAGCTATATTGGTGTAGTATGGTAGTTGCTCGATCATGGGCGTAACGGGTTCTAGTGCTTTTTCAATGGACACGAGCTTTTCACTTCGAAAACTGTACACAGGTGGCAGTCTTTTATTTGAAACTTCAATGTCGCCATAGCGATTCTTCATGACGGAGTATTATTGATCGTTTAAACAAGCAGAAGAGCGATTGTTACAAACTGAAACAGGTTGATAAAAAAATGTTATTTCGTTTTTGCTTCTATAGACCTCAATGAAACAAAAGTGTTTTGAAACTTCTGTTTCCGTACATCAAATGCAAAAATGAATAACCTTTTAGGAACAAAAACAAAAATAACAGAGGGTGGAGTGGCTTCGGATGTTGGATGGTTGCGAGTGTGGCTATATATGTGCTTGAATATAGGTGTTATTGTATGTGGGCATGGATAATGCAGCGTATGAGTGGATATGGGCCTAGTTCTGGGTGTGGGTGGGGTGTCGGTATGAGCATATCTCTTTCTGTGATATCGACACGCACACTCACACCCCAATATGATGCAGTCCTAAGACATGGCTCGAAGGAAAAAAGTTGTATCAGACTTCTGACCTCCATAATAGCTAACAGTATGTTCTAAAATGCTTCAAATTACTAGTAGTATTTTTTATTTCATTCCTAAAATAGGACTTAAGAGTATTTTAAAAAGTCGTAAATGTGTAAAAATTACTATAATGAGTGAAAGATAATAATAAAAATTTCATTTTTTTCTTTCCACTAGTGAAAAGACTTTTATTAGGTATTTTGCATTTTTTTACATGGGGTAGCCTCAATTAATTACTAATCCTGTTTTCAAATTCTCGTATGTTGCTACAAGAAAAAGCAAAATGTTCAAATATGATTGACATCTCTGCTCATTAAGTTTATAAAGAGAACTACCTTCTTCTCGGCCGGTGCTTACTTTAACTTTCTGAAAAAAATTCTCTAGCGTGTAAAATTGCGTTTTCGTTCGACACAAAAGAGAGATCAAGAGAAAGAGGGTGTGGGTGTGGGTGTGTGGGTGGATGGGTGTGGGTGTTCTTTTAATCCACACCTACATCCATACCCTGGATTTTATAAATCAGCCCCTGTAATCATCTACCCCCATTCCTAACATCTTGTTCCAAATTTGTTGTCGTAGATGTTTTA